CGGCTATGATTGTATCAAAGCATTGTGCTAACTCTCGTGATTTGTGGAGGTGGAGTCTTAAGTTCAGAAGGCGGCCAGGTTCACAAACGTCAAACTCTCATCTGTCCTCTGGAGGAGGAATGCAGTGTTTTCAAGTCGTTTTCTGGCATCTGGTACAAGAAAATTACATAATTAAGAAAACTTCCAACAAAATCATTCCTTAATGTTTAAAATGGGTTAGAAATAACTTATTATTATTATTATTATTTATTTAGCATATTTGGATGTACATTACAGAAACATCTGTTGCTTGCACTCTGATAGATTTTCTGTTTTAAAAATGTTTATTAAAAGACAAATAAACAACCAAACAACGGAAGCAAATCTAAAATTCCAAATCCAGTAAATGTGCCTTTTAAAGTGAATATTCATCAAATATATCTAATGTTTTCAGCACCATACTGTATCAGATATATATTGTTATACACATGCAAAACATTTCTCTTTTCATTCAGGTTAATAATATTCTATTTTTGAAAAATGTGGCCACTCTTCGATAAAATGTTCAGCTTCCTCTGTCGGTAACTGTGAGATCAGAGCCTTCAGGCCTCCATCCAGCCCAAGCAGGTCTTGTGTGATCGGTCATGGATGATTCTGCCGCCATGTGATCAAATTAAGAGCACATGCTCGAGTGTTTGCATTCCACAGATGGCTGCAGAATTCAATGTATGGCTTAAGAGGGGGTGGCAGAGTGCAAAGATAATGTTAGGAACTAAACATGATTCTTAGATCAGAAAGAACTACACGTCTTTTTATGTTTAAACACAAAAAGAGCTAAAAATGTAAATGCATATTAAAGAAGCGGACTGTTCTGGGCCTGTTTAAAAAATATTTGAGTCAAAAATATTAAATGAAAAGTTTTCTTGGTGGGAAAATTAGAGAGAAATTTACATTATCAACATAAATCTACAAACAGGAAAATGCTAGTATGACTTTAACAGCTTCACTGGACCCAAAGGTAAAGGCAGCACATCTGAAATTCTCCAGCTGCTCCGTCTGTTATTTTTCCAAGATTTTCCTTGGTTGGTGTTTTATGATAATTTTACAGTAAACAAAACAAAAAGCTACAGTTGTTTAGCTTAATTTAGGAACTGGAAACAGGAACTGCCAACATGGATTTGTTCAGTCTCTACAGACGTAAAGCTTCACAAATAAAATAGATATAAATCATCATTACATCATCATTTTATTTAAAAACATGGGAAAATCTGTAAAACTCTAAATCATCAGCTTCAGCACCATATGTCTTGTCTTCTTCTCAGGAGGACATCCAGCAGAGGGAGGGTCACATGCGTTGGGGTGACGGCTTTGTCCTTGTGTATGACATCACGGATCGGGGAAGCTTTGAGGAGGTGGGGCCGCTCCGAAGCCTCCTAGAGGAGGTGAAGAAACCGAAGAACGTTCCTCTGGTTCTGGTGGGCAACAAGTCTGACCTGGACCACGTCCGGCAAGTCGGCACAGAGGAAGGAGAGCGGCTGGCAGCCGAAATGGCGTGTGCCTTCTACGAATGCTCCGCCTGTGCCGACGAGGGCGGCGCCGTGGCCGAGGCGTTCCACGAGCTCTGCAGAGAGGTGAGACGCCGCAAAGCTGTTCAGGGAAAAGCCAGACGCCGCAGCTCCACCACTCATGTCAAACAGGCCATCAACAAGATGCTGACCAAGATCAGCAGCTAGGGACGAGCCGTGCTACCGCCTGATGACAGGAACAAAAATTGCTTTTCTCGCTGAAATGTTTTGGACCATCGGTGGACGATGACTGATTTAAGTGTGAAATGTGTTCTTCTGTT